ACACTCCTTATAAGAGATTACTACTTACAACAAAAAGTTGAAGATGATACTAGAATGTGAACACAAACCAAGAAAAGAAAATATCAGTGCTAACATTTCTACCCTCTTATCAGGCTTATTAGGAATTAAAAATAATAAGATTTGACAAATTTACTCCTTTCTACAAAAGACACCATACAGTCAAGACAATCTTGAGAAAGAACAAAGCTGGAGTTATCACATGCCTGGATTTCAAACTATACTATAAAGCTATAGTAATCAAAACAGTATGGTACTGGCACAAAAACAGACATGACAGATTAATGAAGAGAATACAAAGCCCCAAAATAAACCCATGCTTACATGGTTAATCTATGACAAAGAGGGCAAGAACATACGATGGGGAAAACCAGACAGCTCCACGCAAAAGAATGAAATCTGACCACTTTCTTATACCACATACAATAATAAGCTCGAATGAATTGAAGACTTAAATGTGAGATCTGAAACCATAAAATTCCTTGAAGAAAATAGAGTAGTAAACTCTCTGACATCAGTCTTAAAAACATTTTCTTAGGGGCGCCTGGGTGGCTCAGTCGGTTGGGCGGCCGACTTCAGCTCAGGTCATGATCTCACGGTCCGTGGGTTCGAGCCCCGCATCGGGCTCTGTGCTGACAGCTCGGAGCCTGGAGCCTGCTTCCGATTCTGTGTCTCCCTCTCTCTGCCCCTCCCCCGTTCATGCTCTGTCTCTCTCTGTCTCAAAAATAAATAAAAACGTTAAAAAAAATTAAAAAAAATTTTTTCTTAGATTTTTCTCCTCAGGCAAGGACCACAAAGACAAAAATAAACAAATGGAACTACCTTTTGCACAGTGAAGTAAACTATCAACAAAATGAAAAGGCAACCTACTGAATGGGAGGAGATGCTTGCAAATGACATATTCAATAAGGAGTTAACATCCAAAATATTTAAAGACCTCATACAACTCAGTATCAAAAAACAATCCAACTAAAAAGTGGGAAGTGGACCTGAATAGACATTTTTTCCAAAGAAGACATACAGATTGCCAACAGGTACATAAAGATGGTCAATACCACTAACCATCAGGAAAATGTAAATTAAAACCACAATGAGATATCACCCCATACCTGTCAGACTGGTTATTATCAAAAGACAAGAAGTAAGTATTGGTAAGGATATGGAGTAAATGGAACCTTTCTGCATTTTTGGTGGGAATACAAATTGGTTCATTCATTATATAAGATAGTATGGAGGTTCCTAAAAAAAAAATTAAAAATAGAACTGCCATATGATCCACTTCTAGATATTAAACTGCAATTCCACTTCTAGATATTAAAAAAAAAAAAACCACTAATTTGAAAAAAAGTATGCACCCCTATGTTCATTACTTACAATAGCCAGGATATGGAAGCAGCCTAATGTACATTGATAGATGAATGCATAAAGGAGATGTGATATATACACATATGCATATATGAGAATATTACTTAGCCATAAAAAAGAATGGTATCTTGCTATTTGTGACAATATGGATGGAACTGAAGGATATCATGTTAAATAAGTCAGAAAAAGACAAACGCACATACACACAAGGGAATATTACTCAGCCATAAAAAGAATGAAATCTTGCCATTTGTGACAACATGGAAGGACCTAGAGGGCATTATGTTGAATAAAGTAAGTCAGAGAAAGCCAAATACCCTATGATTTCATTTATATATGGAATCTAAAAACAAACAAACACACACACAAAAAACCCCAAAACCCAAATGAACAAAACAGAAAGAGATTCATATACAGAGAACAAACTGATGGTTGCCAGTGGGGAGAGGGGTGGGAGGATGGCCGAAATAGGTGAAGATCAAGAGATACAACCTTTCTGTTATAAAATAAGACATAAGGATGTAATACACAACACAGTGGATATAGTCAATAATATTGTAAAAAATTTGTATGGTGACAGATGGTAATTAGACTTACTGTGGTGACCATTTCATAATGCATAGAAGTATTAAATCATGACCTTGTACACCTGATAACTAATATCATGTACAACAAAAAATTACTCTTTTCATTTAAAATTATCAAGGTTTAGGAGCACTTGGGTGGCTCAGCTGGTTAAACGTCCAGCTTAGACTCAGGTCATGGTCTTGTAGTTCATGGGTTTGAGCCCTGCATCGGGCTCTTTGTTGAAGTGTGGGGCTTAGAGCCTGCTTCGGATTCTGTCTCCTTCTCTCTCTGCCCCTCCTCCTGCTTGCCCTCTGTCTCTCTCTCTCTCTCAAAAATAAATTTAAAAAAATTAAAAAATTACTTTAAAATAATCAAGGTTTGAAAAAATCAACTTATATTGACTGTTGCCATGAATATATTTTCTGCCTTGAGATATTAGCTATTGATATTATAAAGCTTTAAGTAGCAATACATTAAAAAATGTCATTCTAAATTTTCTATTTACATATTAGTATAGTAGTATTTTGGCGGGGGAAGTTCAAAAATTTTTAACAATACCAGTGTTTAATCAAAGTTTGGAGATCATTGTCTAAAACAACCACATTTCCTTTTACAGTACTCTGTGGATCTGTAATTTGACTAATTTTTTTATTAATTCCACTTAAATATTTGTTAGGACAAAGATTTTTTTTAAGTGTTTGTTTATTTTGAGAGCGAGCGTGTGTGCAGGAGGGAGGGGCAAAGAGAGGGGGAGAGAGAATTCTGAGCAGGCTCTGCACAGCCCAATGTGGGTCTCAATCTCACCAACTGTGAGATCACAACCCAAGCCAAAATCAAGAGTCCAATGCCCAACCAGCTGAGCCACTCAGGTGCCCCAGTTACAACAAAGATTTTTAAATGCAGTGAATGCTACACATTCCTATTTTAAAATTCAATTAGATAGTATAGTTTCTGTCCTAAAAGGTGTAAACCAAGTTTCTTTCTTTTCAAACGTATGTTTATTTATTTTGAAAGAGAGAGAGAAAGAGAGTGAGCATGTGAGCACAGGAGGGGCAGAAAGAGGAGAGACTGGAGCCTGCTTTGGATTGTCTCCCTCTCTCTGCCCCTCCCCCACTCGCTCTCTCATGAATGAATAAACAAACAAAAAGAACTATGGGGCATCTGGGTGGCTCAGTCTGTTGAATGTCTGGCTTCAGCTCAGGTCATGGTCTCCTGGCTCATGAGTTCGAGCCCTGCCTCAGGCTCTGTGCAGTCAGCTTGGAGCCTGGAGCATTTTTTGGATTCTGTGTCTCCCTCTTCTCTGCCCCTCCCCTGCTCATACACTATCTATCTCTCAAAAATGAACATTGAACTTATTTATTTACATTTATTTATTGTTGAGAGACAGATAGAGCATGAGCAGGGGAGGAGCAGAGAGAGGAGGAGACAGAATCTGAAGCAGGCTTCAGGCTCTGAGCTGTCAGCAGAGCCAGATGCAGGGCTCGAATCCATGAATCACGAGATCATGACCTGAGCCAAACTCAGACACTTAACTGACTGAACCACCCAGGTGCCCCTGAACTTTTCTTTTTAAATAAAAAAAAGAACTATGGAATCAAATATTACTTAAGTATAGCAATTAGGAAAAAGACTTTTGTTCCTGGATATGCATGCTAGGCAGACTTCTAAAATGGCCCCAAGATTCTCATCTATTAGTGCACCCGTCTTCTATCATCCATGCCCCTTGAGTGTGGATGGAACTTGTTGAGTATGATGGGAATAGGAATATGTTATCTTATGTGGCAAATGGGATTCTGCAGATGTAAGGTTGGCCTCTAGTGAATCAAAAGGGAAACTACCGCAATGGATCTGAGCTACTCACATGAGCCCTCTCCATCTGGGTCTAAAGGTCAGAGAGAAAGTTGAAGACACTCAAAATGTTAAAGTAATTCTACTCATCTTGAAGGCGCAAATTGCCATTTTGTGGAGGGCCACATAGCAGGCAGACTGGGGAGCTCAGAAAACAGCACTCTGTCAACAGCCAGCAAAAAGAGGAACCTTAGCCCTAACAACCTGAATATACCAGATAGGATAACTTGGATAGTCCCAGCTGATACCATGGTTTCAGAAGTTTGATTTTGAGCAGAAAACCCAGGTAGTCTGTACTCAGACTTCTGACCTAGATAATTGTGTGCAAACAGGTGTTGTTGAAAGCCATTAAATTTTTCACTGCTATGCAGCAGTGAAAGGGAGTGAAGATGAAGTGGTTATTCAAAAAAGGGAGAAAAACTAGTGGGAATGATTTATGAAGCTTTCATTTTGTATACTCCAGTGGCCTCTACATTTGGTGGTTTAAAGATAATCCTTTAAAGGCCCAAGGGAAACTATTAAAACTTCTAGCTGTATATTTCTCATTTTTAAAAATTTACTTTTCAGGGTTTATTTAGTAATAACATATACAACGTTAATACATGCAGATGATTTGTAAATGTTGATATATGCAGAGATGCTGATTATAAGAATTTAGAAAACACTCTTCTCATCAGAGGGAGAGTGTACCACTTGTCCCTCAAAAGATGTCCTGCCTCATTTTTAACTCCTCTCATCCATTCTTAGTGAAGTTTAAATCTATACTAAACTCTCAAATTATGTAGTGTCTCTTTTGGCATCTTATAATCCTAAGTCTTTCTAGATGCTTCTAGGAGCCCTAGCAAGTTAATTTTATTGACTAGAGCAAAGTTTAAGAATTACTATTTGGGACACAAAACAGAATCCCAGGTTTCTTCCCTACAGATCAAATTTAATAGTGTTAGGGTGACCTGGGAATCTGTTTACAAACTGTTTAGATCATTCTCATTTTCATGTAATTTGAGAAAATGGTCACTTAAGAACATATATCAAGTTAGCATAAGAAAAGCTGAAAGCATGATCTTTGGGAGAAACCTGTATTTGGGAGCGATTGTGACTGTTCAATTCCTTAAAAATGGAACATGAACCATGAGATGTCCATACAAATGCTACAAAATACCAACTTGGGAAATCTTAGAATTTATCTGGCTTCCAATATTTACCTGTAATGTGTCATTACGTGCCATGCATAGGCCTTCAAATTTCTGAAATCCATATGTGCTGTAAAGAAGTAATCTTGAAGGATTTTCTCCTGAGATGGTATTGAGGAGTATGTGAACTGGCAAACAATCTCTGCACCACATGCCCTTGTTCACCAAATTTATTGTTGAACATTCAGAACACCAGATTATGACAGATTTAAAAAGAAAGCACCAAAAATTGCTACACATTAATACCTGAGGAAAGACTGAAGGCAAATATTCATTAAACTCCACACCATAATGCCGAAACACACATGAAAACATACACAACACTCTACAGAGTATAATAAATAGCACTTTTTGTGAATTACAACCAGTTAAATGTAATAATGTTACTTACATCATTTAAAAAATACACACAAAATCACATTTGTGTATTTCATACACCATATATTATACAAAGCACTGGAGATCAGGCATGCTTAAAAGGAAAAATCTGCAAGGTGACAATCATTTTCCAGTATATGCCATAGGACAAATTCCTTTGCACTAAGTATTGTTACTATACACTGCATTTTCTGGACAAAAGTTATCAATTTGCAAATAAAATATTACTGAGTCTATCTCAGTATAATACATAGTCTGTCCTTTATAAATTTTTAACTATACTACAAACACAGATGCAGGTTGACAGCCATGTATTTTATTACATTTCCTTGGCAAACTACTTTCACCTCAATTTTACCATGTTCTAAGGAAAGACATGTTTTCTTTCTACCTATTTTTAGAGAATCCTAGATTTTTGTCTCTGGGTGCAGGTAGTGAAGGTGAAATGGGAAGAAGAAATGTGTTGAGTTTACATTCAAAATTGAAACTGGGGGCGCCTGGGTGGCGCAGTCGGTTGAGCCTCCGACTTCAGCCAGGTCACGATCTCGCGGTCCATGAGTTCAAGCCCCGCGTCAGGCTCTGGGCTGATGGCTCAGAGCCTGGAGCCTGTTTCCGATTCTGTGTCTCCCTCTCTCTCTGCCCCTCTCCCGTTCATGCTCTGTCTCTCTCTGTCCCAAAAATAAATAAACGTTGAAAAAAAAAAATTGAAACTGAAAAATACACAAAAAATTCTGAGTACACAGAGATGAGGGTATCTTTTAGCAGAGACCACGATATCCTCTGAATGGAATAATTTGTCTTAATAGAAATTATTTTAAATAAGCACAGTAAAAATCCAAGTTTTTACATTAAAAAATAAAAACAAAAACAACTAGAGCCAGTTCTTTCTTGAGATCTTAAAAATAAGTATTAGGAAGGAAAAAGAAAAAGAGAAAAGGGGGAAAATAATATTTAAAAATATACTGCATGAATCTGAGTTTAAGTACTAAAAAATTGCTATTGGGTAAACTAACTCTAATATTCAAGTATGAGCCTCAATAATCTGAGGAAAAATAAGTACAGGTCTTACTTTATGTCTTTGATAGATTATTCATTAAAAAGACAAAGAAATATACTTGAAGATTAATTTTCCATGTGTAAATAAATACAAAACAGAAGTGCCACCACATTTTCCTAAAATAAATTTATTTTCAGAAACTTTAGCCAAACTTACTTGCTACACCTATGAAATGTAAGTCAATTTTAATTCAAAAGGAGAACTCTGGAAATTAAAGCTTTCTAGAGCAAAACAGGAAATGCTAGTCAACTTTAACAATTTTACTTAACCAACTTCAAAGAAAAAAATTTGGTGCCAGGTTGAGAAGATGACCCATAATAAAATATACTTATAAAACTGCAGGGCATTCTTTCATCATTTTAAGGCACAGTCTGTTTTATCCCAAACAACTAAAAGTTCAAGGTCACAGTGATAATACGCATCCAGTTTTGGTCTATTTTCTCGTGGGTACGTTGCTACATTTATGTAAGCATTTATGTAAGCAAGTTAGTCATGTAAGTTTAAGAAACTGTAATACAACTACTTCAAAATAATACATTTAAGTCATTTATATATTTTTAAAAATATAAATACACGATACAATTTCATAAATTATATACACTAAAAATTGAAAGTTTTGTTTCCCCCTCTATAGTGGAGGAAGAGTTTATTTCTACCAATATTCCAACAAACACATATTTAATTCTGTAGACAGCATAGTTATATTAAAATACAGGTATTTCCTACTTAGGATAAAATTATTTAACACAGAGGAAAAATTCATTCCAAAAAACAATGTTAACTGAAATTTTAGGTCTTGTACATCATCTTTTTACTAATATCCAGTCACTACCAGATAATTGGATAAACCGTCACCACAGTCAAACATTTTAATATTTGGTTTTCTCTTGCCTCTTTACTTCCAAGGCTACTTTTGCAAACTGCATCAGCATTACTGGGCAGAGAAACAACAAATGATTAAATCAATTACATGATTCAATGGGAAAAACTATAATATGAAGGAATGAAATTCCTTTTGAGAATTTCCAGAGGGAAGAAATTAAAGAATTCGAATCAGATAAAAATGTTTTTGAGTCTATCATTTTTCTACTTTTCTCTCATGAATATAACACCCATCAATGTAACACTTCAGCATTAACACCATTGATTGTTTATATTTTCTGTTAAAATATGTGTTTTGAAATGTTTATCTCATTGGACTAAGTTAGGATCTAGTAGATAATTTTCCCCTTTGAAACATGTGATTTAAAAAGGGAATGGAAATACACAGAAGACAAATTTCACAGTAAGCACTGTTACATAAATGAGACACCTGTACCAAAAAATGATCTGTACAACAAAACTTGAAGTTTTACAACACAGAATGAATCTGTGATAAATAAAGCAAGATTACTTCAAATGCTTACTTCAATTAATTAATAAAAGATCATTATTGGGTAAACTAACTTTTAAAGCCACTAAAACCAGAGAACATTATCCCAGAAATCAGACAAAATAGAATATACTATGGTACATTACATGTTTTCAAAGAAACATTAGAGTATGGAATATAAGTTTTGAAGATTTACATATTTAATATAAGTCCTAGATGTAAAATACTGAAAATAATATTTCTGCTTTAATCCCAATATGTTAAGAAAAATTCATTGGCACAAATATCTGGAGGTATTTTACAGTTTCATTTAGCCTTTGGTGGCAAAGCATGTTTTGCTAACCATACGAATATAGTTATATTTTTCAATGTAGTGTTTTACGCTCAAAAAAATTCAAATGTGTTTTTTTCCTGTAAAAGGGATGCAAAAAGTCCAATATGAAACAAGTACAACATGAAATACAAAATATGCCTATAATTTAGGCTTTTGAATAGTTAATAGTTCTATGCTTTGTCTATAAATCTTTTACTGGTGCTAGTAATATTACCACTATACAAATACTAAAAGCAAAAATAACATTAAAAAATAGCACACGAACTTTACAAAAATGGCTAATTTTTAGAATTCCTAAATTAAGATTAAATTCAAATATGCAAACAAATTTACACTAACTGTTTTTTACGAGTGTTCAAAGTTACAAGGTACAGAATCATTACAGAATAATTCTGACTCATACATATCAGGTTCTATACAAAATCGTCAGAAATTGGTTACTTGGCATTTCAAACCATAGTCATTTTTGACAGCATAACATGCCAAAACAAACACTTTTAGAAAGTCCTGTACTTGACTCAGAATCTTCAACTACAGACAATGTAATCAAGATGTACGTTAGAATATCATCTAACTTTTGAAAGACATTATTGATTCAGGTGTACTGTTACGTTTATACTATTAATATAACAAGTTAGTCTATTCTCACTATTTCCAAACTTCATTCTGTTCTAAAACTGTTATTAATATACAAAATCCAGTCTTCTATATTCATAATATAACATCACAAAATTGTGAATTCTTGAGCATTTACAGTACACATATTGAGATTTGGATTACTGGCCTGACTTTTCTTTCCTATCATCATTATTAAACGTAAAGGACACAAATAGCCTCCCAGACTTCCTATTTCCTCAGGCTGTTGAAACTTACTGTGAAAAAATGCATGAGTAATAGTAAAAAAAGAAGTCCATTACAGACTTGGTAATGTTGTCCCCTCTGTTCAAGAGTGAGATGAAATTTCAGCTCCAAATCATCTGTTTTATAAAAGTACCTTCTACATTTACATTGGGAGGCAAGGAAGCTTTCTGTCAGGGTCTAATTTAGTAATATAAAGATATCCTTTTTTTTTTAAAGATTTTATTTTTAAGTAATCTCCACACCCAATGTGGGGCTCAAACTCACAACCCTGAGATCAAGAGTTGCACGCTCCACTATCTGAGACCGCGAGGCGCCCTGCATAACACAAAGATACTTTTATTACTTCCTGGAAGTGTGTCATGCTCTCTGAATTGACTTCCCCCTGAAAAACTGCACAAGGTATCTAGTTTCCTAGGATAGTAACACTGAAAAAAAAATGATGAAAAATAATCAACAGATGCCTCATCATGAAAAGTTGCAACACACTAAAAATTTTTTTCCCAACTGATTTTAATAATAGGTTACTAAAATTGCAAATGCAGCAATGTAAAGTTTTGCACTAAACCTCCTAATAAGCAAGCTGTTACACTCAGACCTAATGCCCAAGATGAAAATACAGGTCAAATTAATTATCCTGGGATTCAGGAATCAATTCCTCCCATTTTCCCTACAGCTTTCTAGAACTAAACTGAAAATCAGTTTTATCTCCTTTTATTTCCCCTGGCCACTAGTGTAAGAGGTGCTAATGAGCAGTGAGGTGATATAAATATACTGTGTTATGAATGACAAGTCTGAAGCATTAAGAAAAGTGTAAAACTAGAGAATGAACAAATTAGATAATCTGCCTTTATTAAGTATGTGTGTGTGTGTGTGTGTGTGTGTGTGGTGGAAACGTGTACCATCTGTACAAGTGACAGGAAAATCAACAACAAACAAATTTACTAGGCCTAGTATATAGCTCTTTATTTTTCTTTACTGTATAATCATGTAGATTGTAGTGTAGTTCAATCAAGAAAAGGTATTCCATTATATACATGTGAATTTATCTGACCGAAATATGAAATAAAAAAATTAACGACTAATCAATACATGATATATATATACTGAAGAGACTCAAAATCAATGTGAATGAGGCACACATGGTTTTTTAGGACGACTGTTCTAAATATTTTCATTCTGGTGACAACCAAGAAGAGTTAGCAGAACCTGTTTAATTTCTGGCAAAAGATCCAGAAAAAAGAGGTTAAAGTTTTCTATTGTATTATCAGTTCCAAGTTATAATAGTAACTCCAACTGAGGCTTTAGAAACACTGAAATTACTCAGTATTTTTACTATTCGGTCTATATGTTTGATGCAGTTATCAATGATAGGGTCCAAGAGTAATTTTTATAAGCACAAAACTTACTCAAAACTCAAATTCTAAATAAAAATGTTATAGTACTAGAGCTCAGAAGTTTGCCAAATTGGACACACTTTAACTGCCAATAAACAGCTTCATTTTTAGTAACAGTGCTAATAAAGCTGTGCTGTTTTACTAGCTAATAAAATAAGCTGCAAGCATGATAGGAGCAATGTATAATTGAGAGGCAAAAGGACCTTCATTTTCTCAAGTGACAGAAATATCAATTTCCCTAATCTTCAGACAGAGCCTACCTTCTCATCTCTGGTAGTTATTTGGGTTTAAAGTGCATCAGGATTTTTTTTTTTAATTTTTTTTTCAACGTTTATTTATTTTTGGGACAGAGAGAGACAGAGCATGAACGGGGGAGGGGCAGAGAGAGAGGGAGACACAGAATCGGAAACAGGCTCCAGGCTCTGAGCCATCAGCCCAGAGCCCGACGCGGGGCTCGAACTCACGGACCGCGAGATCGTGACCTGGCTGAAGTCGGACGCTTAACCGACTGCGCCACCCAGGCGCCCCAAGTGCATCAGGATTTGATAAAGACTCTGTCAAAATGTGTGTGTGTGTGTGTGTGTGTGTGTGTGTGTGCGCGCGTGCGCGCATGCGTTGTGTATCTGTATATATATGTACCCATAATGGCTAAAGACCCAACCTGTTGTTTATAAAATGTTTAATTAGAATCCTTTTTATAGCCCTAAAATGAAATATTCTGTTAGAATAAATAAGACTTTAGGACTTGATAACTACACTTACATGGAAATTGTCTAGTGAGATACAATATGCCTAGTCTGCTGCTTTAAAAAGCTAATCTCCTACTCACAAATGAGAAATTTAAGCTTGTTATATTTTAGTCATGAACGGTCCTGACTGAACAAGAAGACTTTATATCATGTAAACACCATGATTATGGCTGTCAATAGAAGATCCAAATTAATGAATTTTCTAAAGTTCTTTCTGTATATAAATATGTTTAAATTCAGAAATAGTTAAATGACACAATTAACCTATAACTTGAAATACATCAGTGAAAAAAACAAAGATACAATGTACATAAACTTATGGGTATATGAACAGATAAACATAGGCACATGTGTCCTTATTTAAATATACATGTGGTATGCCATGGGACATCCTTCCTTTCAGGTACTGAACAAACAAGCATTTTGCATTTTATCCCTTTGCTACCTCTCTCAAATCAACAAGAACCTGAAATATTTGCCATGTCTTACTATGAGATTATCACTTCCTTTTAATGATCTTCGTAAGTGAAAATATAAATACTGAACAACAGGCATGAGGCTGGGAGAAACAACGGAATCAAACAAATTTACAAACCCTCACAGACGACACTGAAACCCTCAAATGATGCCAAAACAGCAAGGACCTGAGGAATAACTGAGAAGAGAAGTGAGGTAACCCTCCACAGGCAGTAACAGCTGAGAGACTGTAATGGAATCCAGATGCAACAGCCGATAAAAAGAATCTGGTACTCTAGGACATTCCTGGGTACTAACAAAGACACAAGTTCGCAGGTACTACTGGGAGTTAAGGGCTTTACTTAAAAAGGTTTTGGGTATGTAGAGCATATACATCTAAAGGAAAGGCTCCATGAGCCAAGTACACCTCAGCCTGAGTTTATTCTATCTTAAGGCAAAATACTTAGCTCTATTACCTACTCTTTTGTAGTTAAAAGTGAGCTGAAGTCTGAAATGAAAGAAATAATACTTTCTTTTCTGTGAAACAGTAATCATCTTGGCAAATTAAGATTCCATTGTTAAAACTAGTGGCTAAAACCTCCAATCTATTTAAGTATATTGTTTATACATTACGCTATTAATGGAGTAGTGGTTATTCCGTTAATAGTATAATTTTATTTATCAAATGTGGTACAGCACTTAATCGTGCTTTTTCTCTACAGTAGACAAAACCTGTGCAAACCTGGAGTTTTTTCTGACCAGTGGAATTTAGTTATGTTAACAATCCACCATGATCTGAGGCACTTTTGGCAACCATGGGGTCAATGAATTAAATAAAATGGCATATGCTGGACAACTGTACTGCTCCAATGCTAGTAAGTAAATATTTGGGAGAATTCTCTTTAAATTTAACAACAGATTTCTTTAATAGTCTCCTGATGTTTACCAAGAGTACAAAATAAGATCTGCATTTGAAAAGCAGCAAGAAAATTTCATTGAATTTTGAGTTTAAATTATGTTAATTAATCTTGCATTGGTTACCAAAAAAACATGTCTCCTTAAAATTAAAAGTTGTATTTTCATAGATGTAAGAAAACAAAAGATATGCCTTGATCACTGTGGCTGCCAAAAACTGACCAAAGACTTCTTGTGGTTATTTCATTTTTGGGAAACCAAACAGTTGTGAATTTCATCAATCTTTTAAGACTGATTTCTCAATATGCATACTGTAGCAAATACAAAGCAATCTACTTTTCAGAAGAAAGTTTGATGAAATGAGCAGAATGCTTGAGTTGAGATTACAAGCAATGCTACATTTACTCAGTGTTTAGAAGATCCCCAGTATGGCCAATCAAGCAGAATAGCTGCTATGCAGAGAAGTCCTCAAAAACAGTGGCCACCATATCCTTTTACTAATTTTTCAAAAATGACTAGTACTTAGATGCCATACCACAAAACTAAACCATGCTTCAACTATTTTCCTCAAGCATTATAAAACTAATTTCCTATTTTCAATATTGTAAAAATAGACCTGTCTTCTCCAAAGGATCTTGTCATCCACATTCATGGATGTGTGCATTCCCTCTTAACACTGACTCTAATGATATAAATTATTTTTATCATTCCTTAAATCCAGTCTTACATAAAGTTACATAACGCATGGAGTAAAAGAGGAATGAAAACAAAGCATGGAACCCTGTATAAGTGTGCTGACCCAAAAGCAATTACACCAACAGCCAGAGGAAGTGGAAATTGTGAAGTAGTCTTCAACAATTTACTGTAAAGAGACAGAGAAATATATATTATGCAAACAACATTGTAGGCAAAACCAGAATATGCTGATATTTTATACAGTTCTGAGAAAGTATTCTAAATGGTGTTAGATGGTGTAATTTTTCATATAATGAATTTAACCATACGTAATTTTTAAAAAGATCAATACAAGCTATATTTTAGCCAGAGAAAAATACTAGCTGAACTTTTATTCACCAATTCTACCTCTAAAAATTTACCCTTACAAAAATAATATTTACTAAGACATACCTATAGAAATATTTATTTTAACCCTACTTGCAATAGCAAACAAAACAAAAAGCCTCAACCAAATAAAAAGGGAATGATCCTTAATTACTAACAGGAACAGTATTAAAATGACACCAAATCTTATTAAAAGAAAAATACAGAAAAGACTATTACTTTTTTATTCTGAAAACAAAAAACTGGGATAGGAGGGGTTAAAGAAATTTGTCTAAGGACATAGGGCTATTAAATGGCAGGCCAAGATTTAAACCCCAGGTCTGCCTTATTCTACAATGCCTACAAACATCTGCCAGAATCAACTGAAAACAGGCTTGTAGAGGAAACAACCAGGCAATGAAACTCAAATTTTATTATGGAGAACTTTAAACATATGTATTAGTGAACTACTAATAGTATAATGAACCTCATGTACCCATCACCCAACTTCAAAAAGTATCAAGTGATGGCCAATCTTACGTCACCTATAATCCTATCCACTTCACTCCTTCTGTACTTTTTTTTAAGTTTATTTATTTATTTATTTATTTTAAGAGAGAGAGTGAGCATAGGAGGAGTAAAGAGAGAAGGAACAAGGGAGAATCCCAAGCAGTCTCCATGCTGTCAGTGTGGAGCCTGACGTGGGGCTTGAACTGGTGAGATCATGATTGTGCCAAAATCAAGACTAAGTCACTCAACTGACTGAGCCACCCAGGTGGCCCTCCTTCCGTACTTTTTGGAAACAAATCTTATTAGACATCATATATTTTAAGGGCTAAATTAAAAAAAAAATCATTATATCCTAACAAGTAAACCTGATAACTAAGAAAACAAATATAGTACTTGCATATAAACTACATCTGCATACAAACCATAATTACTCTACAGTTATAGCTTTAACTTTAGGAACAGTCAAAATAATTAGAAATAAAGAACATGTTTCAGGCATCAAAGAAAGAGTGATAAAGACTAGGAAGAGATGTAAGAAAAAGAAAGATTGAACTATTATACCTGGATTTTATTGAAACGGTGTGAGTATTTCCAAGAATTGCCATAGTTGGAATAAGGATAAATGCCAAAGGTTTACACGGATCAGGACTAAGTTTAAAGTAATACCTACATCAAAGAGAAAAAACAAAAACAAATCAACAAAGTATACTCAATCATTTTAAATTATCAGAATCAAACAAATTAATTAAATTTCATAATACTGCATTGATATGAGAGCTCTAAACAGCTCATGAAATTTTTGATAAATAATTTTTGCTATAGATCATCTTTATACCTAAGGCTTTATATTGAGAATTATGTTCAGAAACTACTAAGGGAAATGAAAATATCCAATATGGGAGCACTTCCTTTTATTTTATTTTTATAAAGTTTATTTATTTTGAGAGTGTGTACATGTGAGGGGGAGGGGTAGAGAGAGAGAGAGAGAGAGAGAGAGAGAGAGAGAGAGACAGAGTCCGTCCCAAGCAGGCTCTACACTGGCAGCATGGAGCCCAATACAGGGCTTGATCCCATGAGCAATGAGACCATGACCTGAGCTGAAATCAACTGACTGAGCCACCCACGGACCTCAGCACTTTTTTAATAATAGGTATAGGGGCACCTGGGTGTTTCAGTAGGTTGGGCGTTGACTCGGTTTCAGTCAGATCATGATCTCGCAGTTCCTAAGTTTGAGCCCCACTCTGGGCTCTGCACTGACAGTGTGAAGCCTGCTTGGGATCTTTCTCTCCCTCTCTCTCTGCCCCTCCCCTGCTCACTCACTCCATCTCTCTCAAAATAAATGAACTTAAAAAAATTTAATAATAGGTACATGTATGTCTGAAAGGTCATACAGAAACAATGTTTTTATAAAACAAGTTATTCAAAATATATTAAGGCTGCTCTAGTTTATAAAAAAGATGAAAAAAATGAAGATTTATACAAATTGTCTCATTTTCTTTTAAATCTAAATTCTCATCCTGGCATTTACTGACAGTGAGACATCTATAGCCTTTTAGAATCATAAATTTATGCTCCTCAAATAATTTTCTCCCCAAACCTTCGAACAAAAAACTCTGGATTGTGACTAAAATTAGGGACAAAGGAAGAATATTAACATCTGGTAACCTGTTGATTTATCAAACTTTGACTTTTCAAAAAATATACTTTCAGTATTTAGATAATTTGAAATTTTTATATTGTTTCTAAAAACTATATTGAGTAGGAGTTCAATTATTGGATGATGTGGCCTATTTTTCAAAAACAAATTATAACTAAATATTCTAGAAACATCTTAGAGGGCATCTCAGACTCTGATTTAACCTAGAATAGTTACCATGTGGCAAGGCAAACGATGGTCATTTATTTTAGTTTAATGTTTGGTGCTCATTAGAAAAGTATACTTTTTTTTCATTATTTCCAATATTTTTAAATGTAAGCATTTTCTTCTTCCCCAATTTAAGGAAACATAAAACTGGTCATGAATTGAAAAATACTTAAAGCACTAGCATTAGGAATACCTTGGGTCAGCAAAACAAAGCACATTTTCACATATGTCTAGACTCACAGAAGGTTAAAGGTAAAATAAATAAAACACAATTCCCTCTTTTGGGCAGATTTTGAGGAAGTTTATATTCTTACAGTAAGGGAAAAAATGTGATTGTATTGAAAATAAATTTCAGGTGATATATAGCTTCCTGTTCTTGAGGACGTTTGATGGATCATTAGGAATCTGGCAAGTCTCTACTTACAGACATTTATTGTTTTAGCCACATAAATTATAATTATATAAATAAAACACACCTGAGATTCTTTAACCAGTAAATTAAAGATGGCATGCTGAGTAATACAATCCATGTTAATAAGTTAATCACAGTATTGTGCATACGAAGACTATCTTCAGCATCATTGGCAGATAAATGAAGATAGTGTACTGTAGAGTCTTTATGGTGATTTGATTTTTTTTCATTTCTTCTAGAGTGTTTGAGATTCTACAAAGCAATAAAGTAAAAATACTAAGGTATTGCATAAAATTTAAGTTTATTATTTTACTTAGAATCACTCCATTATTTAACAGCTAAATAAACACATCTATTACCAAACTGATATAAAATACTTTGCTCAAAGTATAAATTACCTTGCTCAAAAGTAATCTAAAGTGGTTATCATTATAAAACTTTTGTTCCTTTGACTTGCTATTTCCACTGCTGAGAATGTATCTTCTAAGTAATTACTTAAAATTTAAAAGATAATCTGTAACAATAAAAATGACATTTACTGACAAAGATCAATTTAAAATTAGACAATCTAATTTCTAGGTTCACTTATCTTAAAATTATTTAAATTCATGACATCTTTTTTTAAACACTGTAAAATCCTAACTTAAAAAAAAACACAAAACAATTTTTTTATTCCCTCATGTTCTTTTATATTAAAGTGATATAGAGCTTTGAAAATAAAACTTACCACAGTCTGGCTATTTTTAAAAGTTGCTAGGCTGGCTTGCAGATGAACAATCTAAGAAAAAGAAAAAAACTGTTTAATTTCACTTTTATTTTGAAACAAAAAACAACCATTTTTATTACAATTGAGAAGTATTATAATCTGAAATTTAAAGAAATCTAGAAAACTAAAAACACACTTAAACATTTACAAACAGTCTTTCAGAAAAGGTAAATAATAACTACACATACTTGCTATCATGGATTAAAAAACAGAAAAAAAAATAAGAACAAACTTTCAGAGTATGATAGGGCCAGGATATATTGTTATACCTCCTATATTCTGTGAGACTATATTTGAATAATGCTTTGCTCTAGAAGCTTCATGTCCTGTGAGTAAAATATTTGATTATCTTCATTATAGCATAAGGAATTTAACATGTTTCACACATTCCACATCACTGAAAATCTGAACTTGGTGAAATGTTTATAAGAACCTGAGAAAATCTTTTAATTTGCTATGTTTGCTTAAGCTAAGTATTTGAGAAAATTTTGCTTACTGGATCAATTATTTGAGACATCCAATTTGAAAAGCTAAAAATATCATATTTATAAATCAAAGTAGTAAACAGATTTTTCTGATAGACAAAATTCCTTTGGAAAACTGAAAATAATGTGTATGTATTAGTGTTAAAAACAGACACAAGTCAACTTTGTTTAAAAAAAGAAAAAAAATATGATCCATTCTGTTATCAACCGTCTCTACATGAGCCTCATGTGGAGAGTATGCAGTTGTATAACCTAGATTTTCCTGCAAAGCTGTCAGACTTCTTGGAAGTGTTTTTTGGTTTCCCAGTAAAATTATCAGACTATTTTATCCTTGCCTTCTGATTCTCCAGCAACATCTGTTAACATTCTACATTATCTCAGTACATTTGATAGCTTGATCCCACTGACATAATTTTTTGTTTACTACCCATGTTTAAAGAGGTGTGAATAAAAACTGCTCTAGTAAAATATTTTTTAAAAAGCTAACATTACTTGTAAGAGCAAGAAGCAATGTGAAACAGGTTATATCTTCTTCCCCCTTTTTTTAAATACACTAACCAAACTCAGATTAATAATTTCAGCTTTACAGTGAACTACGTATTTTAAATAATTAAGATGTTTAAAAAAGCTTTTTACACTTAAGGCTGTTAGAGAATAGAAGGTTACTACAGCTGTAATTCAAATTTTTGTTAACAACAGCAAAGGAAATTCTATGCCTGCCTGACCCAAAGCCCAGCCATTCTGACTTCATGATGTGACATACCTTAAACACATAATAAAGATAAGTAAGAAGTATGGCAAATGCTCCACAAGTTGTCCAACTAACTATGATCAAAACAATGGTCAAAAAGGGCAAGTCTAGTGATATCATCTTGATATCTTTAGGAAGTTCAGGGGGCCTGGAAAAAATAAGAATAAAGCTTTTACAAGTATATTAACAGTTACTTACATGGTCACATATAAGAAGAAAACAATTCAGTACTCTGCCAGGCTTTTCTGCTTATTAATATGCAAGTACCATAAGGTAAGCAGTAAAATGTTTTTTCATAAAGGCAAGGGATGACACATATTTGATTGTAAATTCTGTAATACACTGTGATAGCTCCTCTTTCACTTAGATACACTATGGCTGATACTAAGAAAAAAACATTGCTACAAATAATCATTAATAATAGGCTCTGTGCCATGTATTTCTGATCTTGATTAAGAGGAAAAACAGTTTTCTATTTCTTAAAGTCTGGAGATCACTCAGACAATGTGATGCTAGTAGTGTCTGAAGCATCTCAGAAGGGTGAAGGAAGAAGGCAGACCATAATCCCCTCTGTGACAGTAAATCATATAATATGTCTGGTGAGGAGCAGTGGCAATGGAAACTAGGTCAGTGGTTTATCAGAAAAGCCTACCAGTAACTTCAAACTTTGTCTATGGGCCTGTAATAAAACTCTAGGCAATGTTTTTGGAATTTTTATGCATTTCACCTAATCTGATCTTAAGTATCTTGACTGGAATCTATTGCCCCCAGGTTTGACTGAAAGTTAGCATATAAAAGCATTGCCAGAGAAACACTTCTTCCTTGGAAAGATTTACAGCCATAAACATTAAAACTACTTCTGTAATCTGTCAGTATTTTTTTTTAAGTAATGTCAACCCACAATATGTGGCTCTAACTCGTGACCCCAAGCTGAAGAGTTACACACTCTACCAATTGAGCCAGCACAACATCCCTCTGTCAAACTTTTTTGATTAACTCCTGGCATTAAGGTCTAACTCAAATATAGCATTTATCTTGTGATATTATATTTTTAACAAAAGTTTTATTTAGATATAGCTTTGAACATTAATCCATGTTTTTCTAGTCCTACATCTTTCCTTAGAAATTACAGTTTAGTGAAAGCAAATTAATATTGAGGATCCTTATCAAAATATAATTTTTTCCTTAAGAGCAATGAGAAAGCTTTTGGTCATTCTTTACCTTTTCAAAGCTAGCCACAATGAAGAAAGGAGTCTCACAGATGTAGAAGAAAGTAGACCACCCCAGTAGGCAGTGCATGTTCCAAACAGAAAGAGAATCAAGGATACAAGGGGGAAACACATACTCTGACTAGTTAAAACGATGGCATCTAATTCTGGCAACAATAACACATCCCATAATTCCTTAAACCATTTATATCTGTGGATAAAAGAAAACATACAATAAAAGCAAAAAAAAAAATCAACAACTTTCAAATATTTAATGTCTGAGGTGTTTGACCATTTACTACAGTCCCCAAAGTTCAATGATACTCAACTCATAATTATACTGAAAAACACATTTCAATTCCTTGTAGAGAAAAAGTCATTTATCTTCCAAGTAAGTCTACTGATCTTCAAGGATCTGAATCCTGAGTCTCAATATAACTCCACTGCTCTCTATTGATCATTGTAATGAAGTAACAAGTGATCTTTTTTTAGGTTAGAAAACCAACAATTGTTATGACAGAAGAAAAGAGATCTAAGTATATTGGTTCTTAACCAAAAAACCCACAAAATGTGAATAAATTAAAAAAGGAATGTTACGTGTGGTAGAGAGATCCAAAATATACTTGTATGGGAAGAAAAAGTGATCCGAGACATCATTTCATCAATACTCTATAATGGTTTGTGTTCATGAATCTGGGATACTCAGAGATCATGGACCATGTACATCCATTTGCAAATGTTAAAAGTCTGGTATATTTACAGACTAAGTTTCTACAATTGATACATATATATATATATATATATATATATATATATATACACATACATATATATATATAATTTTAAAACCTTTGGATTGGTTATAGTATTAAAGTAAATGTTGATATACCAATTAGGTCTCTGCCTAAGAGAAAAACCTCATTTAATAAAACATATTTTTATGAAAATTTATATTATGTTATGGGGCCAAACATGTTTTATATATATAAAACAATTAAAATCATTTTCACAGATAATAAAACTTACCCCAACAGAAACTTAATCATAAGTACAAAAGGATCAACTTTATATGGCTTGGCTTGTTTATCCAACATAGTAGCATATTCTAAGCAATGACCTGGTGATTAAAAAAAAAAAATTATATGTAGTAAAGAATTCATAGTGATTAAGTATAGACTTATCATACACTGACTGCATTACCTGTAAGAGCAATATATTTCTTGTTACAAAGCAAGGGTCATTACTATCAAAGACCCTATCTTCAAAAGATTAAAAATCACTGTAATTCAACAGATCTCATACAAGAGGACACAATCACTTGTGAAACAGCTTCAGGAAGCCAAAGCTGGGGTTTTGCCATTTGTATTTTCACAAAGCTCCAAAGGTGATTTAAAAAAAACAACAACTCTATAGAGATGTGATTCTTATACTACACAATTCATTCAAAATATATGCAATCCAGTGGTTTTAAGCATTCACAGATATGCCTTCCTCACCACAATCAGTCTTAGAATATTTTCATTACTCCCAAAACAAACTTTGTTCCCTTAACTGTCACCTCCAATGTCTCCTTATTCCCAGGCAACAACTAATATCTTTTCTGTCTTTATAGACTGGCCTATTCTGAACATTTCATATAAATGAAACCATGTAATATGTGGTCCTTTATGATGGGGTTTCACTTGGCATGTTTCCAAGATTCATCCATGTTGTAGCACCTATCAGCACATTTTACTTATCCATTTATCAGCTGATAGATATTTGGGTTGTTTCCACTTTTTGGATATTATTAACAGTGCTCCTGTGAACATGTATGTACAAGTTTAGTATGGGTGTATGTTTACATTTTTCGTGTAACTAGGAGTACAGTTCCTGAGTCATACTGTAACTGCCAGACTAGTCTCCAAAACACCTATACCATTTTATATTCCCAACAACAGTGCATGAAGGTTAAAATGAACACTAAAAGTAGACTTGAAATTGTAAGTTATTGAAAGGGAATGAGTAGCTGGAGAAGGATTTGGCAAGATGGAAACGGTAAAGGTTATTTCTGGACAGCTTTTACGTATTTTGGTCCTACTCTCTTCCTACCTCTTACTATCCGAGCCCAACAAGTGTGTGAGGGCCTTACAAAGTAGGCTCCTGGGAAACTATTCTAATTGCAATAGACTAGGGAAGGTTTTGTGCAATGTAGTGTCTATTCTGTATTTGCCTCTCCAGATCCATTCCATCGCCACCCTTTACTTTGCTCTGAATTCTGGGAGGCTGACTTCGGTTCAGTGAATGATAGGCACTGGAAGATAAGAGG